AAAAAAAAAATATTTATATAAATTTGGTGTAGAGAATTGAGTGCCCTGTAGATGATTACAGCTTTTATAAAGCATTGCCTGAATAGTGTTCAAGTAGTTTGAAACTAAGCTATATCTGCTTTAGCCATTGGCCTCCTAGTTGATAGATCAGTTAAGTATAATTTGATAATATATGCATGGGCTAGAGCATGCTTACTTGAGTGGTTAAGTTTAAATGTTTAAATGTGTTTCAAACCTGTCTCTCCAACTTAATTCTTTTAGGAATAATTAATTTATTGTACACTATTTGCTTCCCTTGCTCAGGAAAAAGCCAATAGAAAGGAGAAAAAAGCTGTTCTTCTATTATGCGTGGTTCTTCACTTCACCATTTGTGGTCTTCTCTTGGACTGTCATCTTCTACATTGCCTTTCTCCTCCTTTTTGCCTATGTCCTGCTCATGGATTTCCAAAAAGAGCCCACCATGCTGGAACTGATTCTCTATGTGCTAGTTTTCATCCTGCTTTGTGATGAAGTGAGACAAGTAGGGAGTGCTTAGAAATCAAACATGTTTTATTTGCAGGAAGATTATTCCAATTGCAAGGAAGTTCTCGAAGTTCAAATCTAATGGCTTTTTTCCCCTATTGCATCTTGATTTTCACACTGGTTCCAATAAATTATTTGAAATGCTGTCTAGATCCTTAGGACATAGACTCCATGTGTAGATTAATTAATAACTTTAGTGAGGCTGTGATTTTCCACAGTTTCCATAGTTTCCTAGTCCATAAACTTACCCAGCTTTTGTGCTGTGTTTTGGACTGAGAATCACAGTTCTAGTTACTATTAAACTGGTAAAACCAGAGTAAAAAAATGCTTAAATATACGGTAGTTAAAGCCAGCACAGGGATGGGTTAACTAGAATGATCTCTGGAGGCCTTCTGGAATAACCATGTTTTCATAAGCCTCCAGAATACCATCAAGGAAGGGGCTGTTCTTGCCCCTTGGCATAGCTGTTTCATATGAGAGGACACTCTTCCCCCAAGAGTGTCTGCCTCTGAGTCCCTCTTGTCAGATCTCCCAATATGAGGAGACTATTAATAGGCACTCACTATACATACTGAGCAAGCAGATTTTACTTGGAACAGATGCCTCTGCCTAGTCCCAAGCCACATTGAGATTTGTAAGTTAACAACCAAACAACTTAAATTGTACTTGGAACCAGACTAGCAACCAATACAAGCTCCCATAGCAGTGGCTGTTAAATGGCGGTAATGGGTTTGCCCTATTAGCATAGGGCTAGCCTTGAAGACTTTTAAAGATTATCACCAACACTTTGAATTGTGTCAGAGACAGATATAGTATAATATATTTTAGATCATTCTGCCTATAAGGACCACCATTGCTACATTCTAGATCAGTTGTGATTTCTGAAAAATATTGAAAAGTGGCTGTGAGTGAGCTCTGTGTAATAAATCCAGTCTAGATGCAATTAAAGAAAGTGCCACTATGGAGAAGTGTGACCTTAGGAATAAAAACCTATACTGTAAGATGAGAGTTGTGTTAGTCTATGGTGGCAAAAAATCAGGAGTCTGGTAGCACCTTTTCCAACTAACAATTTTTATTAAAAGGCATAAACTTTTGTGAGCTGCAGCTCGCTTCATCAGATGCATACAGTGGCTGCACTGGGGTAAGAGAAAAGTATGGGAAGACAGGCTGAATATGTACATCACAAGTACCTTATCAATTAACAGTTGTAATGTGTTAAAACCCACTGTGTTTTTTTTGAGATTCTGAGATTGCCTGAAACCTTTTGATATATGAGTTCAGTTTCTTGCTTGATGGAGCTGTTAGTCCTGCTTTTCTAAAACAGTCACTTTGAAGTCTGCTATGGAGTGTCCTAGGAAGTTGAAATGTTATGTCCTTGTTTTGAGTCCTGATGTGAAACTTGTGTTCATTAATTCTTTTGTGCAAAGTTTGTCCCATTTGCCCTCTGTAGAATTCAGAGGAGCATTTTGCTGGCAGATGATAGCATATATCACATTGGAAGAAGAATGTGTGAAGTAGAACATTGTTGCAGTCTGTGATAGTGCTGTTGGTGTAGATGTGAGGCAAAGTAGACATCTGGATTTGTTTCAGGGTCTCATTCCCATGTTGACATCATTGTTCTGTTGTTCCTTGTTGTTTGTGAGAATCTGCTTCAGGTTGGATGGTGGGCTATATGCCTGAGAAAGTGCAATATCATTGTCCAGTATAGGCTGTAGCTTATTAATAATGCATTTCAGTGGCTTGAGTTGTGAGCTGTAGATGGCAACCAGTGGTGTTTTTTGTTCTGTTTCTGTGGCCTGTCTTTTAATAGGTCCTTCCTGCGAATTTATTTGGCTCTACTGTATTGATTTATCTGTTGATCTCACTGGGTATTCTTGAACATCTCTGTTAAGAACAAATGTGATTGCAGCATTGAGCCTGGCTCTAGATGATAGATTTGGTGTTGTATTCTGGGTGGAAGGTGGAAGCAGATTGCATGACAATCTGTAGGTTCCTTGTGTAATGTGGTATTTACATGTCCATTGTGTACTTTTATGGTGACATCAAGGAAATTAACTTCTATAGATAGGTCTAGGCTGAGGTTGGAAGTTGTTGAAGTCATGATGGAATTTGATGAGAGATTCATAAAGTCTTCAGGTGGTGAGAGTTAAGAAAGTGGTGTTCTAAGTCAGCTGTGAAGATTATGGCATATTGAGGACATATTCAATTGTTAATGGCTATGCCACAGATTTGCAGGTACATGTTATTGCTAAAGATGAAGTAGTTATGAGTGGATAGAAAACCACACATTTTGTTAGCAAGACATGCTGTTTTGGCACCAGTCATGATGTGGTTGATAGCTTGAAATACATTTTGTGGGGAATGTTGGTACATGGTGGTTAGAGTGGATTGTTAGGGAGATTGCCTATGGAGTTCAATTTTCTTAGAAAGTCTGGGGTGTCTTTATGTAGCTGGGAGTGCTGGTGGCATGAAGTCTGAGTCCATGAAGCCTGATTTTCCATTTGTGACAGTTCCAATGTTTAAGACAATGGGCCTGCCCAAGTTGCATAGTTTGTGTATTTTGGGAAGTAGGTAGAAGATGCCTGGCCAGGACTCCTGGGTGTTTCCATGCAGATGTGGTCCTGTATGTGTTTAGGAAATTCTTTCATCAGATTGCATAATTCTCTCTGATATATTGTAGGATCTGAGGAGAGAAGTTGGTAGAATGTAGTATCAGAGAGCTGCTTCTCAGCCTCCTTGACGTACTCTATCTTATTCATGATGACAACTGCCCCTGCTCTGTCAACTTGTTTGATTACAATGTCATTGTTATTCTTGAGGCTTTTGTTAGCATCTTGTTCTGCTCCGCTGAGATAGTTGCATACAGGGAGATTTTTTAAATTGATTATTGTGGCTTTAGCTTGTTGGTGAAAGCATTCAATGTAAAAATCCAGTTCAGTGTTCTAGCCATCTGGGGGTGTCTTTGCAGTGCTTTTTTTCATATATCTGGGATTTGGTGTGACCTGTAGTTGCATGTTGTCCCAGGATGTATTAGGAAGGATGATAGCTGTGTGCTTATGTTTTGTTTCTTGTCTTGAAAGTACTCCTTGTGTGTGAAACAGCAAAAAAATGTCTCAGGCTCCCCATAAGTGTATATTTTGTGTGGGTGTTGTTTAGTGTTTAGTGGGTGTTTTGTGTGTAGTTTAACTTGACACTTTCAACATTCTTGGCTATATCCAGAATCTGAGCAGCTGCAGCTCTTAGTCTAGACTCACGGCCAAACTGATTCTTCTCTACCAGAACTGATCAGACTCCTGCTTTCTAACTAGGAGTGTCTTTATTTTTGTCTTCATTAAATCTTCATGTATTAGTTCTGAGGTAGCCCATTGCAACCCCAGTCTATTCAAATCATCATTTCCTTTGATCATGAAAAAGATATCTATCCATATGCACTCCAAATCTCCTGATAATGTCTTGCAGTGTTTTTATGTAAATATAAAATGATATGGCGAACAGAATAAAATTCTCAGGAATACCATGGGTCAGTAGCTACGGAATTAAATATGATGCCTCCACCATATTTTGAAATGGATCACTTGTTACATATGGGAAGAATAAGCAATTATACACTGCAATCCCATGGATTGATTTCAGCCCTCTGATTAAGATTAAATTAAAAGATCTGTTAAATCTTAAAACTTTGATATGGCAGTTGGTTTAGAGAATTGTACAAGATTAATTGGACAAGGAGTATTAATTCTACAAATAAAGCACTTCCTTTGGTCAGGCTTTTATAATGCCATTTAAGATGTGATTAAAAGAAAAATGCAATTGCAAATACACTATTATTTATAACACATCTGAAGTTATACCACACTCCATGCATTTTTGTCCTGGTAGGCAAGAAAGACAATAGCAATTTCAGAGCACCCACTTTCTCTCATACATCAAAATTAGTGAATCAGTGGTACACAAAGATGTTAGATCACATAGCAAAACACGCAAGAAGTCAGACTTTCAATGCTAAGTGTCCTTAGTTCATGTTCTTTGATCTTACTTGGTTCTTACCAACATCCTTAATTAAGTTAAAAATCTTGATAAATATATCAGTTTTATATTAGGTAGACATAAATGTTTGAGTTCGTGGTTTTGTTTATTCATCTTTATTCTATTCTATAATTTTCTGTTTCTGTTTTTTACTAGTGGTATATGAATGGGAGTAAATATTTTTCTGATTTATGGAATGTTATGGACACCCTTGGAATTTTCTACTTCATATCAGGAATTGTGTTCAGGTGTGTTTCAGTTGTCCCACAGTGATACTATTGTTGCCTTGAGTTCAGAGCTAGCAGAACAAAAATATGCTATGATAATGATGTAAAAGTGAGTGATGTGCTGAAAATTCCTGCAGTTTTTCTCATTAGTTTTCAATCTGATAGAAAAGTTACTACTTTTGAAATTCACTTCCAAGGCAAAGAATATGTGGGAGGAATACTTTGGCATGGGATACTGGCACTTACCTGGTTATTAGGTGACTGAAAGACGTGTATTGTGGGAAGGCTATCCTGTCTTTCACTGTACAATCAGTTCTCCAACAGTTTGCAACCCTGTCTTCCGATGCTTCAATTAGATACCATGGAAAGACATCTCAGGGGATTTCTTACAAGGGCTTTTTCAGATTCAAACATCAAGATGTTTACATCACTGCGGTGTGATGGAAAGAAGTATAACAGGAAACAACAGGATCCTTCATCATCTTGCAAAATAAAGTGATCTAAAAACCTACCAAGTAAAATTGAAAGCATCCTAAGAATGAGGCTTTAAAAACCACTTTTTGCAAGAGAGGGAAAAAAATCCAGTTTGGGTTGATGTGAAAATGGACTTTGTTGCCCTAATGGCTTCAGGAGAAGGAAAAAAGGAATTGATCACTTAATAACTTTTAGCATAGTTGATCATGGTATCTACTTGAAGTGCTTGAGAGAGATGGGGGTTGGAGGCACTGCCTTGTGGTAATTTCATTCCTACCTCTTTGATTACTACCAGGAAGTTGTATATAATTATGTTTTTTCTATGGGGGAGACTGTCTATGGATTAATCTACCACTGGTGATAAAGTCCTTGTTATAATTTATGAGGCGACTAAAAGCATAGTTTTTACCCCAATGTTTTAAAGTTTTATGATGGTGATTTTTATAGTTTGAATTGGTAGAGTATACTTTATTGTCTGTATTATATGTTGTAAACCATTTAGTGCCTTTTTTTCTGCAGAAAATGTGATGGAATGGAATTATGAAGGCCAGGCTCAGGGATATAAGCATTTTCTTAGCTCGCCAGAGGAGCATGGGAAATACAAGAGGATGAGACTGGCACCTCCCT